GGCACTGTGAAAAGATCAAATTATAAGCAACACAGAATGGCGACGCAGGAGCAGGTCACATTGTACTTTTTTTTTTTTTCCACATCTCTGTCAGCATCCGTTTGTGATTTTCATCTCTGGTACAGCTCAATCGGTAGTTGATATGTCCTGAGGTTCAACATGCTATACTCAATCATAAACAGTTTTTCCTCAAACGTTTATTACATAATCAGCTTTTATCAGCTCATATTAATTATGAGATGGAATGTTTGTAATTTTTTTAACCATTTGTCACACAAGCAAAGGCAAAAAGTTAATTAAAAATGGTACAAAATTAAAAGCAAACGGTAAAACCTATGGTCAACTACTAGTCCTTAGTCTTAAAGGGGTCATGAACTGAGACATAAAAATTCCCTTGATCTTTTGAAATATAAAAGTCATTGTACTATAAAAATATCCTGTAAGTTTCAGAACTCAAAACTTTCTCGTTAGTCTAAAAACAGCTTAAATTGAAGCCAAACTGCCAAAATGACAGGTTGTGGAATGTGCCACTATATGACATAACAGTGTGGCTAAACCCCACCTCCGCAGAATATCAACGCCTGCTTCTACATCACTGCCTGTTTAGCCCCTCCCACGATTTGTGCATGCAGTGTAAATAACGAGAGAGGCAAACGCAGGTCGCAGATTCTACGCAGAAATCAAACGATAAAGACGGCTCCGAAGACAACAAGATGCTGTACAGTGCTAAGTTGTGGAAAAACACAGTCTTTGCATCACCTTCCTTCTGATCCCAACGTTAGGAAAGAGTGGCTGAACTTAATTTTTAATGAAGATCCAGACCGTGTCAGTAAGAACTTGGTCCTTTGTTCACTTCATACCATGGATTTGTCTGCAAACAAAGCACAATTCAACGCAGGATTTTCAGAAAGACTGAAACCAAAAGACGATGCTGTGGCGACTATACTGGATCCGATATCGCAACACACACAAGTATGAGCAACTCTTTTTATTACATGGTCACTATTGCTTTGTCTGTTATTACAGATCATTTGATATGTACTGAGTATTTATGCATTTTTAACCTAAATCACAGCAGCGTCCAAGGATGTAGGCTGTCAAACATACACAACTGTTAGCCAATAATAGCAGTGGGCGTTTACTTCAGAGTCTACAATCTGCCACGTCTATTCAAACAGAGCGTTCTGATGAGGGGGATCAAAACAGGACAGAAAATAGCCTATTACTTGTCAATGATGATGTTTTTTTATGTAAAAATCTTGATAACATTATAAGTGGACCTCAGAGAACAGTACAAAATAATAAAGGAAGTTCATGACCCCTTTAAAAAGGAAGAGATGAGTAATATTGAAGACCCATGACACAGGTGTGATGTCCAGGTAACAATGCTCTAAAGGTTCTGGAGAGGTCACTGTGAAATATGTCAGGCTGAAGCAGCTGTCACAGTCATACCCTTTAGAGACAGCCAATTATGTGCCTGCTATGGTCTGCCACCCATGCAGTCCCCGCTGCTCCTCCACTATTGCTTTTGGAGTTTTATGATAATTTTGTGAGCAATCTGTTTAGATTTGTCGCGAACAAATTGTATTTTAGCGCCTCGAGCACCCAACAAACATTTAAGATTTTATGTAAATGTGCAATAAAGTGACAAATATTGACTTTATATTGTTATAATATAAATAATTTGTTATAAAACAAAATGTTCGGGGGTTCTCAAAACACACACACACACACACACACACACACAGGTTTGTTTTTGTGAAAAGTGGGGACATCCCATAGGCGTAATGGTTTTTATACTGTACAGACCGTATATTCTATTGCCCTTTACCAACCCTACCCCTAAACCTACCCCTTACAGGAAACTTTGTGCTATTTCAGATTTTCAATACACTCCATTCTGTGTGATTTATAAACGTTTTGAAAAGTGGGGACATGGGGTAGCCTAATGTCCTGAAAAGTCACATTCTCCTTGTAATACCTATGTCATACCTTTGTCATTATACAAATATATATATATATTATTATTAATAATATTATTTTTGAGAACACCCGAACATTTACTTCAGGGAATTGACTCACGCAATTAATTCACACCCGGTTCCTGAATCTAGCGGGTCTAATAATTTGGTTTGATCATGCACGCTACTAAAGCTGCTCATGTGGTTGATTCACAGACATATTGCATAACATAAACACATTAATATAATAGCAACTCGTCAATTAATCATGAATGTTCCACATCTCCACACGACAATGAAAAACACTCAAACGGATGATATTCATACATACATAGCCTACATAATGCACCGCGGTAAAACGGGAAATACGCACAAACATTTAGCAAAATATGTATCAATATTAGCAGCGGAAATACTAGTGCTAATGAATAAACGCACCTGTTACATGAAGAATTTGAGCGAAGCAGGAGACGGCGATGATCCCGACAGCACATATGAAGAGCCGATAGAAGAGCCGCTGCCGTCTGGATGCCAACACCGCCTTCATCCCTTCACACCTCTCAAAACATGTCCATTCAAGAGAGAAGCCCTCTTCTTTCATTCACACCACCTGTATTGGCCTTTCTTTTCAACATACGGCGGACTAGCTTGCTTAAATTCAGCCATACGCCTGTCGCCTCAGCATCCTATCGCTTCAATAAAGATACACCATCATCTTTCACGTAACGGTATTTTTACCCCTTCCGGAATTTTAGTAATATAAAGTTACGAACGAAAATGTCTTAAACTGTCGCAGAGCACTAAAATAATAGAAATATTCAGCTTATAAGCATTCTAATCACACCCACCTCCATCCGTGTCCCTCTTGCTCGCGCTCTCTCCTCCCTCCACAAGGCGCCCGACTCCGTCACTGAGAGTGTTTTCCAGACTCACAACTGCGCCCTCATGCAGGGTTCACAATAATAACAACACTCTTATTCAGCTAGGGTAAATCAACACAGTTGAGTGTTTCAAGGCTAGATATACCGACCTCAATAATATTTGGGATACTTTCCAGGGTACAAAATGGGGCCAGAAACTCTTAAAGGGGTCATATGATGCAATTAAAATGTTTCTTTTCTCTTTGGAGTGTTACAAGCTCTTGGTGCATAAAGAAGATCTGTAAAGTTGCAAAGACTAAAGTCTCAAATCCAAAGAGATATTCTTTATAAAAGTTAAGAGTCAACCACGCCTACCTAAAACGGCTCGTTCTAACACGCCCCCACATGTCTACGTCACTATGTGGGAAGATTTGCATAACGCCGCCCAAATGTTCACGCAAAGAAAGAAGGCCTAACTTTTATTCTCGCTGTAGTATTGTTGTTGCCGCCGCCATGTCGCGAAGGCGCTGTGTGTTTCGTTGTGAAAGCAAAACTACTTTGTTTGGACTTCCAAAAGAGGACGATATCCGCTTCGTCATGCCTAGAGCTGATCCGTGCTGGTCGCTGAGGAAATACATCAACTTTGCGCTGTGGATAACCGGATCGGCTTTCACCGTGGACGAAGCAGAGTCCAGCCCGGGGTCGTCACATGTGGTTGCCGCAAGCCCGTCGGCCGCTTCTTCATCGAATCCGCCGGCTGCGCCGTTCTCAAGCCCACCCGCCGCCGCTCACTCAAGCCCACCGTGTGTAACGCTGCGTTTCATTGTGAAAGCGAAACTACTTTGTTTGGCCTTCCAGAAGAGGACACGACTAGAAATCAGTGGTTAAGTTGTATTTACAACACTTTTCCAAATATTCAGATGTGTCCAGCGCATTTTATGGAGGACTGTTTCCTTAGAGTAGACATTTAAAGAATTTGCCACTGACGATTCAAACGTGAGTTTTGAGCAGTGTAGAGTAGCATTTGTAGTTTGTAATTTCTCCGATCACAAATGCAGACAGGGTTTTATGTTTACGCGGCGCAATGCAATGCAACATGTAAAAAGACAGTATAAGTCATTATAATCAGTAATTATGTCCCCACTGGATGCAACAAATGCCTCGTTTATAATGGGTTTTAATGTTTTTGTCACGTTGCTCCAGCCGGGACAAGGCATCACAATATGGTAAGGGGCGTCACATTTCCGTCACACGCTTGAGGTATTTGGCCAATCACAATGCACTGGATAGCTGGTCAATCACAGCACACCTCGCTTTTCAGACCGATGAACTTTGTAAAATTCGACACGTTTCAGAAAGGCGGGGCATAGAGAAACAGTAATGTACAGTATGTGGAAAATAATGTGTTTTTGAACCTTAAACCTCAAACATTTCATTACACCAAATATATAATGACAAAATAATGTTCTTTTTAGCAATGTCATATGACCCCTTTAAAATTACCGCGTTATTGTTATTATTATCCTCATGGGTAGAAGCAGTACTAGTAACTCTAATTTAAGTGATTCTGCAATGTTCTACAGTATACTCAACTAACACTAAAGAAAATTAAATAAGACATTAAAACGTAATAATGGCAAAAGTAATAGCTCAGTTTCGGCTCAATTTGGCACCCTTTCACACAGTAGGAGCGAAATTATGTTTTGTAGTTATTGATAAAATATTTGTTTTCTGACAACAACTTTGGTAAAAGGGTTAAAAGTTCATGAAAACGGTCAAAAAAAGAATTTGCGCTTTGGACATTTAAAGGAATAGTTCACCCAAAATTGAAAATCCATACAACTCCAATCAATAAATGAATTTTTTTTCACAAACACGCATCTTTTTGATTCACAAGATGTTAACTGATGGACCGGAGTCGTGTGGATTATTCTGATGTTTTTAACAGCTGTTTGGACTCATTCTAACGGCACCCATTCACTGCAGAGGATCCATTGGTGAGCAAGTGATGCTAAATTTCTCCAAATCTGTTCTGATGAAGAAACACTCATCTATATCTTGGATGACCTTAAATAAAGTAACTTTTCATCAAATGTTCATTTTTGGGTAATCCTTAAAGATACATCTAAAAATGTATATCACTGCATTAGATAACAAAAAAAAGAAAGAAAACCAAATGGCATTTATTTTAAAGAAAGATTACAAACATTGGTACTGATTCAAAATGACAAATATAAGATTTGAGATAAACAATATTCAGTTCCATACAAAAAATTTAAAAATGACGCGTTTTATAACTCAGGACAAAAGAAAATGACAGCTTGGCATAAAGCATATTCACATTAGTTTGAACCGATTATTTGGCACATCAATGACTGTAATAAAAAAAATAAAAAAAAATAAAAAAGAGCAAGAGGAGAGTAAAACAATTCAATCAGAAAAAATACTTCCCCTTTCCAAAAAAAATATTTGCTTTACGAAAGCAAAGATTGCACAATAGAACAAGGGAGAAAAAAAAGCATAATAAAATATTTAAAATTATGTACTTTACATACACCAAATTAACACCAATTAAAACCATAAGAGTGCTGTACTGAGCAAAAACAATTGTAAAGTGAAATCAGAAATCCACATGTCTTGATGGTTCTTCAGATAAAAAAAAAAGAGCTGGTAAGAGCTGCTAATTGTTTGGTGTAAGCACAGCATGCAACCGCTGCTTCAGGCTCAACAACATGTCATTCTGCATCAGCTGGGCCAATGTATTAAAATTGCAATGAGAAAATATCTATCAGTGCACACCCTACTTCATGGGCTCTAGCGAACCAGTCACCTTGAAGTTTATGCCGTCTCCAGGCAGCGGGGAAGGTATCAATGGACAGAGCCAGCAGATGTACCAGTACTTGCCCAAGCATTCCCTGATGTTGGCCAACGCTCCCAGGTTGTAAGGCTGCCGTGTGGAGTACCACTCACGTGTAGTCTGTCCCTTCAGCATCAGAACCACATGAAAGAAGAGGAAGGCAGCAACCAATAGGAAGCCCACTACACAAGTGTCGGCAATGAATGCAAAAGCAAACGCTCGTGCCGTCACCTGTCCTGTGATTAAAGAAGAACATATGTTAATGGGTATTTGTGTGACAATTTAAAAGGGGTCATAAAATACATTTAAGTATTTAATTTTTTGCTATAAATCAGAATTTTCACTTCCATTTTCCACTACCTTTATGGCCCTTAGAATTAATTTTTTTTAACCTAACCCTAATAAATGCAATTTGTTTTTGTTATTGCTGCACCTATTCAAAAATATGGGGTCAAGAAGACTTTTTCATGTTTTTGAATGAAGTCTCTTATGCTCACCAAGGCTGCATTTATTTGGTCAAAAACACATAACAGTAATAGTATAAAATATTATTTACATTTTCTATTTTAATATGTATATTAAAAAAATTATTTATTCTCGTGATGGCAAAGCTGAATTTTTACTTCGTAGCCATTTCTCCAGTCTTCAGTGTGATCCTTCAGAAATCATTCAAAAAATGTTCAGGATTCTTTGATGAACAGAAAGCATTTATTTGAAATGGAAATCTTGTGTTACATTATACATGTCTTTACTGTTTTGATCAATTTAATGCATCCTTGCTGAATATAAATATTAAATCCCCCCCCCCAATAAAAAATGACCAACCCCAAAGTCTATAAAGTCACTCTTGCATTTTCAAAATATCCTCATCTATGTTTTAACCAGACGCTTTTATCCAAAATGACTTATAAATGAGCAACACATCAAAAACGCCAGCCAAGATAATATCACCCTATTAAAATCAGCACAATTCGACAGCTATACGGTGTTCAATACTCTAAAAATAGCATGTAGGTTTGCAGGGCACCACAACACATTTAGTCTAAAAAAAATGAATAAATAAACAAATGGAATATGTGGAGCCAGCGCAGCACAAGCCCTTGAAACTCTCTCACACTGGCTTCAGACCATCGTCATTGTTGAGATTTTGACTACGTAGTAAGTTTTGACTTAGAAAATGTACAGTATATTTCCACAGCACACTCAACTCTCATTTTAAAAGGTGGAGGAAAGTTTGATTTCTCATGATATTACGCATTTCTCAGAGCAGACACTGATAAGAAATGTCATACTTACCAGAGACGAGCATTATCCAGGGCATGAGCAATAGCAAGACGCTGTGAAATGTTACACCCTCCTTCAGGATGACAATGAAGACCTCAGCATTCATGACTACTGCATAAAGCAGCCCTGCCCACATGAAGAACAGACAGGTCAGGAAATACCGGTAATTGTAGAAACCAACACACTGGCCAAAAAACACACAGTGGTGATCACGCCGCAGTACACACACATTGCAATCGTAGCAGTGTGAGCATCGTGGAGGAGTGTGTGTCTCACAGTTGTAACAGTACCTGCCATAAAAGAGGAAAATATCAAATTATAATGGTTTACTCATCCTCAAACAGAGATTTTGGAGCATAAATAAATGATATATAAACACAGTACAATCAAAACAAAACAATTACCTCCACCCTTGACCCAATGCATCGCCTCCAAGAAACACTCCGCGAATACTTGGGTTAGTTTTGACAAACAACGATGCATTCCAGGTTATATTTCCCAACATGAAGTACTGAGCGAAGAGATGCATGGCCTTCCACATGGTGGACCACTCAGTCTTCTTCTGTTCTGGCTCAAGGGGAGCCTCGACCAGCACCAAATAACTAACCTCGGCAGTGATGGAGAACACCAGCAAAGCGTTCAGAACGATAGGCAGATGACGGCCGGACGACTCCACCTTACACCATACTCTACTCATGAACCTAGCCATGTTTTCAGCTTTAAACCATCCGCTGCGCGAGACTCTACCGGCTCAACCTGCTTCCTAAAACAAATAGGGAGCTTACTAGTAATACATAGGACACTGCTAACTCTGACAGATAACACACTGAATGTTCCAGTCACATTGACAGCAGCTATCGATTAGAAACTATAAAACACTCCTACGATTTCCTTTTATTAATACATACCGACCTGTCATTCCATTCAGAGTATCTTTTCGACGATAAATGCAGAACAAATGATACTCTGCTGGCTGCTGTCTTTAACAATGAACTGGTGCTGCAGGCTAACAACATCTGCCACTGATAGGTCTGTGTTGCAACTGAAACGGTCCCTCTTCTTCTTCTTTCTTCGTTGGAGTTTTACGGCAGTTGGCATCCATGGTGTTGCATTACTGCCGAAACGGTCCCTCTAACACAAATGACACTCTACAAGAGTTCCGCGCGGAAATATCACAGTCAGTAAGTATGTTTTTCATATTTAAAGGATTTGCCACTGATGATTCAAACGCGACTTTTGAGCAGTGTAGAGTAGCACTTGTTGTTTGTCGTTTCTCCGATCACAAATGCAGACATGGTTTTATGTTTACGCGGCGCGATGCAACGCAACGCGTAAAAAGACAGTTTAAGTCATTATAATCCGTAATTATGTCTCCACTGGATGCAACAAATGCCTCGTTTATAATGGGTTTTCATGTTTAATGGACACGGCGATGGCATCACAATATGGTAAGGGGCGTAACATTTCCGTCACACGCTTGAGGTATTCGGCCAATCACAACGCACTGGATAGCTGGCCAATCAGAGCACAACTCTGGCTCCAAACGAATATCTACCAACTCTTTGTCTCTACTGCGCAGACTCGGGCTCCAAACGAATCTCTACTGCGCAGACTCTGGCACCAAATGACGGCATTTACTCAAGATGGCAGCAGCCATACTGAGATGCTTTGGCTTCACTTTTCTATAGTGGAAGGAATAGGAGACTTTCCATCTTTTTTTACAGTCTATGGGTTGTATAGAAACACAATGCATTGAGAATGAATGAATGAAATGTCTTATTATGCATTCACTGTTACCTTAACCATTTGTCTAACTGACTACTGTGCAAATATAGTTTAAATAGACAAATGTTGTATAAAGACAATAACAAAATCACATGTTTGTATGAATAAATAAAATACATTCTATTTACTATTTAAATAAATATTAGCTTTTAGAGTTCCCTTGATAAAATCATGCACAACGCTAACTCTGACAGATAACACACTGAATGTTCCAGTCACATTGACAGCAGCTATCGATTAGAAACTATAAAACACTCCTACGATTTCCTTTTATTAATACATACCGACCTGTCATTCCATTCAGAGTATCTTTTCGACGATAAATGCAGAACAAATGATACTCTGCTGGCTGCTGTCTTTAACAATGAACTGGTGCTGCAGGCTAACAACATCTGCCACTGATAGGTCTGTGTTGCAACTGAAACGGTCCCTCTTCTTCTTCTTCTTTCTTCGTTGGAGTTTTACGGCAGTTGGCATCCATGGTGTTGCATTACTGCCGAAACGGTCCCTCTAACACAAATGACACTCTACAAGAGTTCCGCGCGGAAATACCGGCTGTGCCTCACGCGTAAGAAGTGAAGCTGCGGGCTCTTTCATCGCCCCCTGGTGGCTGGCTGCAGTACAGGTCATAAACCCCGCCCTCTCCATGTAAACGAATGGGACTTGAGTAAAAATAAAAAAATTAATTACGCTTCCAATACAATTTTCCAAAAGATGGTTTTGGTCGTTTAAGGTAGTTGTTATCTATGGAAGCCCGTTTCCGCCACTAAATAAAAATATATAATTCTGTAAGTCATAATAATGAGAAACTTTCTCGTAATAATGACTTAGTTTCTCGAAATAATGACTTATTTTCTCATAATAATGACTTAGTTTCTCGTAATAATGAGAAACTTTCTCGAAATAATGACTTAGTATCTCGT